ACACCTTTCGGATTTCTGTAGAGACCTATCTTAGTCATTTACAGGCCTCCTACAGACTTGCCACATATTACCCTATGAGCACCTTCAGCCAACAATCAGCTCGGCCAGGCACTGATCCTCCACCCGCCCCATCACCCGGCGAGGACGCTTCGGATGTGAGGGTTTAGGCTTTGAAGGTTTAGGCTTCAAGCATGTGAGGATGGCTGTCCGTACTGTTGCGGTTTAATGCGATGTCAGGGGTTCGCGTTTTAAGGTTTGGCGGCCTCAGGATATCAAGGAACCCTGAGGTGTCATATGGCATTAGATGAATTCTGGGATTTGGCCAAGGGAGGTGGCAGTGGTGCCAGTAGACAAGATTTTGGGGTCTCAAAGCTAAACCTATATGGGTTATATTGGGGTTATATTGGGATAATGGAAAAGAAAATGGAAACTACTCTACGTAAGGCTACCTAAATTTAAAAGGGTCGGACAGTGTCTAAGAACATCATGGGACCAGGCTCCAAATTTAAAATGTCTGTTCTCGTCCACTAACAAAGCAGGGACATCATGGCGAAGCGCATGCCTTCGTGAACTCCGAAGTCTGGCTGCTTTGGCTCCTCTTGGTTTTGGGATGTTTTGCGATTCCTTTTATGGTGTCTTAGCGTCTTAGCACATAATACTGCATCATATTAGCTTCACCTTCCTTGCTCGCGGCCAATTCCATTTGCATGAGTAATTCTAGTCTCCCTGATTAGGTGAGGATGTCTGAGGCTCGTGATTTTTCCAAATAATAAATAATGCATAAGTATTCCTTGGTCTGTCCGTCCTGGGAGTTGTGACATTCAAGACCTGGTTCTTGAAGGGAAGGGCTCTTCTTGTTAAAACCCCCCAACCTTGTAACCCTCCCTGAATGCCTTCAAGCCTCAACTCCTGCAGCACCAGAGACTCCATTGTACAAGTCAATGATGCAAACCCCTGACTCTCCTAAAGCCCAAACTCAAGGCGGAACAAGAAAACACCCAAAGCCAGCAGAGATAAGTCAGGAGTTCCACTACATCTCGCTGGGCGAGCTGTACCTGCCAGCGGTGCCAGCAACCCAGAATCGCCAGTTCACAGCATTCCTGGGTTTGCATTGTCATGAAGCAGCGCTTGAGGGCTCGTGGCTTGGTCTGGGGTCTTCGGGTTTGGGTGCAACGTGACGAGCTTCAAATTGCCGCTGCCTTGGACCAATGGAGGTGTACAGACCTTTTGCCAACGCCAGGAATTCTCGCTCCAAGTATAGGCAATGTATTTAGTCCCGAAGGTTTCGGAAGAAGTTTGATAAATGCCCTGCCTGCCCGCTACTGGAAGCTCGGACTTCCACCTTGCATGTTTAAACCTTACTCTTAGCAAGAATCTTCCACCATCCTTAATCTAAGCGCCTGCACCTTCCATGCCTGTCTCTGTTGCCGGTGTCAGTGCTTCTAAGTCTGCCGCGTGTTTCTGTTTTCTTGCGTTGGCAGTGTAGTTGCAAGCTGGTGCGCAAGGCAGTGCTGGCTGTATAGCTTTGTTTTGGTCTAGGCAGCCTTATCTACACAGCTCAACAGCCAGGATCTTTTGCCCAACACTGGCCGCAGATGGCGCGTGGTTTTCAGAAACTTCCATGGGATCGTGTCTTCCGAATTCGCAAAACAAAAAACAGACGTACACCAGCCTTGAAGCTTCAGAAGTCAGGTGCAAAGCCGTGCACTAAATCTTCTGTCCTCATGACACATGGCAACCAGGACTGCAGATGGTAGTCCAAACGTTAGCATCATGAACACAAAGACGCTGACAAATCCTTGCGTCGGAACTGCAAGATGAGTAGTATAAGCACCGTATGCAAACGGTCATCTCAGCCAGTGGCCATTCTGCTGACCATCAAAGCACAGGAGCCATGATTAAATTCAATGATGCTGCTGCAGATGATGATGGAGGGGACCGGAGCAACACTATGATCAGCTTGCCTTGCCGTACTGGCAGTAACGGTCATTACCCCGATGAATGCAGGAGGACTGTTGATGGCAATATCAATGCCGAGTAGAATTGATGTTCTCAATTAATGCTCTCAAGTATTGTGCTGAAAATAGGAGTGAGGCAGTCTTGTCATTATTGTTTTCCGCTCTAAGCATTGAAGCCGCTGCCCCTTAAAAGCTCCACCTAGCTTTTGAGCAAGGCCAATCTGCGCAGACCTGCGGTTATCTTCGTCAGATCCCAAGTCTAAGAACAATTGTCTGAGGGACCCAGAAGGCTGAAAATTCAGCATTCGACCATAATTAGGATAAGTTTGTGTTGGGGAAAGAAATCCCATACTTCCAACATACCTCGCGGACCAAGATAGAACATTACCGTCGTTCCCCAGAATTTAATCTGTTGATGGTCCCCTGCTTGCTACGGAATTTGGAGTCATGGGGTGTAAATGGGATGCCCAGAAAGCCCTCCTTAGTCGGGTAGAAGCAGGCCGCCAATGGATCAACACTCAGGAGAAAGGATGTCTTGAGCTATGGGATCAAGAAGTGACCCCTGGGTTTCTGGACCAGTCGTCAAGATATTTTTGGCCTGCCTGTTTCTCAAGTCCTGGAGTCTTCTGGCAGGGTTCTAGTCTAAGGAAGACATCATTCAATTCTCTCTTGTTTGGTGTGTGACATTAAGGATCCAAGTAAACGAATAGTACCTATAAGTTGGGCCCTAAAGTGTGTACATATTACTTACTCCAAAATAGGGGGACCCCAATGTAGACCCCAAAATATTATAATCCTTATTATGGGGACCCCCAATAAGGTACGCCTAATTTTGGGAAACCCCTATTTGGATCCCAAAAGTAGCAACTTCAGAGGGTTTGCGGTGGCGGCCTCAACATGAGGGGACCTTGACCACAAAGCTGCCTGCTACATCTTAACCGCACAGCCTTCGAGCTATAGTCTAAATGCCTTAAAGGGGTTAGATAGGGAATTCTATAGGGGTTACGAAGGGGGGTATTGGGAGTTTAGAATGTGGCTCATGTAGCTTTACCAAACCAGCAGATCTTCAGATCTCAGCATCTTACCCTTGATCTGGCCCCATATGCGCTAGGATTCTTGAGAACATTCTCCACTACCCCAAGGTGATCCTACCCCCTTCATTTCACCTGTTCAGGAAATAGCAGTACCCGTATCATACAGCCCCTAGCATAGAGCAATTGCCGCACCAAGCGCGTTTTGTACTTTCCCGGGCGCATCCCAGATGATAATCCTCCTTAACCTTGATGAGAGACAACAAGGCCGGTCTTCGTATCCTTCACGGGTCTCTCGCTGACATTTCCCGAGATTCGGCTGGCACGAGTCACCACCACCAGCTTCGTGTTGGGCCAGGCCAGTGCAGGGTCGCCGCTTGGAGAAAGCAGGGATGCAATGTTGGTAAACTCACTAGCGCTGCCGGTCACGGACCTCGCGGGCGTGTAGGTTGCCCAGACAACACGAAGATCTCCCAAAGAGCATGCTGACTTGTTGGATGATTTATACAAGTGTTGCCCCTTCGGGGAGGGTCCCCGCAGCAACTGCTGTCTTTCCACTTTACATTTGTACAGCTTTACATACAATGTTGGTGCGCACCCCCCCAAGATTGCCATCATGTTGACATTACCGGTGATCTGTCTTGATGAGCGCGGTGTCTCAACATAGGCGGCCTGCGCCTAGGAGCCATTATGATCAAGATGTGGTTGCCCACCCTTTCTCGCTACATTCCCAGGCCCTTGCAAAAGGCATCCTTCATCTAACCAGCAGACTTCTGCGTCTTCCAGAAACCGCCGTCCATGCCGCATTTACGGCTCGTGGCATCGTCTTCTTGGTTGCTTTCTAGGGGTAATCCGAAGGAATCCAGAATCAGCTCATGCAGTCTTGCGTGTAATCCTTTAGTTCCCTTTCCCTTTTGCTTCATCCGCAAGCCATGGTGATGGGAGTGTCGAAGAGTCGTGCCAGCAAGATGGTCCAAGCAGCGGCAAAGAGTTCTCTGCTGGGAGGGCCGGACGCCAATGGGCACTTTCAAAAAAGTAGGGGCGTTCAGACTTAGTTAAGTTTTGGCTTCAAGGGTGTGATATACTCCTCCCAAGTGACGGCGCGCTGTGCTATGAGAGGTACCACAGTAGCGCTGTGAATCTTTGCAAGGTCAGTCAGCGTTAACCATATTCTTTTCCTGGCTGGCACCAGGATTTTTTCTATATGGTATTGGGGCACAGCATTGCTGCTGCCGTCGCTGCTGCTACTGCTGCGTCTACGTCTACGGCTGCTTCTACAACTGTCGCGGCTAGTACTACTATTACTACAGTACCACGAATCACAATAGTAGTGATGATTAGATTGCCACCACTACCGCCACTGCTGCCGCCACCACCACCACCACCACCACCACCACCACCACGACGACGACGACTACAACTGCTGCTGCTGCTGCTGCTGCTACTACTACTGGTAGTACTAGTACTAGTACTAGTACTAGTACTAGTACTCCTCCTCCTGCTGCTCCCGCTGCTGCTGCTCGTATTATTTCTACTTCTACTACTACTGCTTGTTTGCAGTCTTGCCGCCTTTGTCTTGACATTTGGCCCTTTGAAGGCACAGCGCAGACGAGATTGATAACATCAATACACTTGGCGGCGTAGTGAGTCTTGGGCGTCAGCTCAGCAGGTTTTCGCATTTCAGAATGTTCTCCAACCCATGAGGAAACTGATAGGGCAATTTCTCTGCAAGAACTGGGCTGCTGCTTGTAGATCTTCATGCATTACATCGGGCGTTCTATAGACTGGAGACTTTTGAGTTTGCAGGGTGTGAGAAATAGCTGAACAACTGTTCCCAACTGTCCCAGAGACGCTTGGCATTTCTCAAAAGAAGCCCCATGTACTTTCCAATAAGGATACCGCAAACATATAATCCTCATATATCCCCAACATCGCTAGGTCCCAGTTTGAAAAATTCCCATGTCAAGAAAGGAGCGCCCTGGTACTGGCCTTTGTATTGGGCCTACAGTACATGGTTGCTCCTGGTACTGAAGACATGAAGTATGCAGACTACAGAAGCTTGTGGCTTGGGTCTTGGTCTTGAGGAGGGTGTAGGATTCAGGGTTTGGGGTATTGGAATCTTTTGCGGCTACGAGACCCACTACGCGCCCAAACATGCGAAAAGCTAATCCTGCCCGGCTTGACGAAACAGAAATCTGTGCTCTTGAGGAGTAGAACACCCTAAATTTCAGAATTGTTTTGGGCAAAAAAAAGGGGTCCACGACAACTGTAGATTTCAAGAGACTTTTCTTTCCAGAGATAAGAATGTACGGAAGATCTGTTCAAGTATCTTTTAATTGCTTTAAAGTCGATTTCGATTAGTTTACAAAAGATTTTAAATGGTTTCTGATTCATGTTTAATCGCATTCAGGGGCTCACCTTAAAAGGTTTAAGGTTCGGGGCTCATAATTTGGCCGCTCTGATATTGAGAATAGGAAGGCTGATTCCGAAACCTGATCTGATTACTAAAGTTAATTTGGAGTTAAACCCTGAAGCATTGCTTCCTGAGTGCAAGTGACTTTGAGGCTTACCATTGGAGTTTTTTCCCTACGCTGTTCAAGCAACGGAGGCTGTGCAAAAGCCAGGAGTTCCGGATCTTTGTGCGCGATGTCCTGAAAACAGAGGATATCGGAACGTACAGCGAGGAGTATTTCAATTTCACCAAGATGGTCAGGCCGGGACAGTACATGGACATTGAACAGTTCTTGGTCAGCGGCATCATGTCAAAATGGGGTGAGACTGACTCCGGCGCCGATCACATCCCATGCATCGGTGACAAAGACATCCAAACGGCAGTGGCTTTGACGATCCTGGGGTAGATTTCAAAACGGTTGTAACTTTCCTTAAACCCCAACACGAATTACTTAACCGGCCCTCTAAACTCAGCTAGGATCGAGGACTTCCCCACGAAGTATCTGCGTGCCTGGGTGCTGCAAGCCGGCGACCCATACAGGTGGGGCTGCCCCAGAACAGTCACCCACGAAAGACACATGATGATGAGATATGATACGCCGGGAGCAAGTCTTGGCAAAAGCCTTACCCTTGTAGCGGCCTTTGTATTGGAATCTGCAAGCTCTGGGTGTAATCAGAACTCAGCACTCATCGAAATCCTTGGGCCAAAGGGGAGGAGGCGTAGGGGGGCCACAGGACACAATCTTTTGCCTTTTTAATTGGGCCTTTACTCAAGCTTGTTTGCGCCCTTTTTAACCGGAAAGGTGGCACTTCAAGGCTTTTTCCCCCACGAAAACGCAAAGCCTTTCTTGATCAGAAGACCCTACTGAAATGGGGGTCTCCCAAAATTAGGGGTACCTTTTTGGGGTCCCCATAACAAGGACTATAGTATCTTGGGGTCTATATTGGGGTACGGAAACTACCAAATCGGGAAATACATGCGCCTGTAAGCAGCGTCTTATCAAACTTTAGCATGATGAGTTAAGGTCCATGTCTGTGGCCATGTCTCAAGCTGGGCACAAGTCATGTCCATTCAAACCTTACAAAATGCTGATATGCAAGCCCCTGAACAAGCCGGATTCACCTCTAAACCGCATAATTACTCTGACCAAGACTCTGATCCCCAAGAAAACCCTGAGCAATCGGAACCCCGATACGTACTTTATACCCTGAGCGCACAACTTTTCCAAAGCACAGGTGGTCCGAGGTCACCGAGCGCATGGGTTCTGTATCGGCGGCCCTGATCTTTTCTGCTTTGCTCTGGAGCCTCTAGTCGTCGAAATTGTTGAATAACATTGGATAGCTGTTCTACAGGATAGTCTAGATCTACGTAAGCATGAACAGATGTGATAGAATTCTACGGCATCTCAACAAGAACTCAGTCGTGTGGGCAATAAGGGTTCGGAAAGATTCCCTGAAACACTGCTCATCCTGATCCCAAATGAGTTCCTATACCATCATTCTCAGCCCCTAAACCCCACCCCCCTACAAAACCTTGAACCCTAAAGCTTAAACCCAAAACCTTAAACCCTAAACCTTAAACCCTAAACCTTAAACCCTAAAGCTTAAACCCTAAACCTTAAACCCTAAACCTTAAACCCTAAACTCCGAACCTTAAACTCTCAATCCCCTCCCACTGCATCCCTTCCATGCGAGCTGAACGCACTCCAGGCATCATCCTGAATCTGAGCCTCGCCTTGGCTCCAGTGCGGGAGGACACCTCATGTAATCTAAACTGCGGTATATATGTTTAGGGTTTAGGGTGGATAATGGAAAAGAAAATGGAAAGCTACAGGAATTATAGGGGTTATATTAGGGTTGTGTTACCCCCAATACTGGAGAATCGAATGGAAAAGGACATGGAACATGAAATGGAAACTGGGGTTTATAGGGAGAGATGAATCATGGCCTAAACTCCCAGTATCCGCTTCAATGACCCTTATAGTACTCCACTATACGATCCCCTACCGAACCTCCTTTTAGGAGTTTAGACTATAGTTCATGTATTTGTTCGCATTTGTGATGTCTTTGTGCGTGTTTGAGTGGGACCTGTAATAAGGATTTAGTGGCAGCCAAGGTTATGGGAAGCTTTAAAAAAGTGTCAGTCATGCTATCGGAAGGCTGGGAAGGAAGCTTGCTCGGCCCCGCGGTTTAGGGTCAAGCTTTACAAGCTAGTTTCCATGTCATTTTCCATTTGGTGCTTCATTATTGGGGTAATATCCCTAGACTCCTAGACCCTATGAGCAGAAGAAGGTTTCGCAGGCCCTGAGTCGCGGAGGCATTGGGCGTTTTGGTGGAGATCTGCACCAGTCAAGGCTTTTCCATTGAGTGAGAGTCTGACCAAGAGTCAATTTCCTTGAATCCAGAGTATCATCCCTAAATCTTAAACCTTAAGCCCCACTCTGAGAAGAAGCGCTCACCGTGAGGCGTGGAGTTTGCCTGAAACCTTTACCTTAGATGTGAACCCAAAGCAAATTGCCTGAAACCAAGACCCCCATTCACACTGACACCCTGAGCCTAAACTCGACATTCAACAGTCGTGAGGACTCCTCGGGTGCGGCACTTGTTGCCTGGCTGATGACCCTTGGCCTCTTCAGAATCCCAAGAGCCCGACCGGTTTCAATTTGATTTTTAGGATTTAGAGCTTGAAGGTCTAGTATTGCGGACTTTGTGCAACGTGGGGTTGAAGGTTGTGACCTAGGATGGTAATAAGGGCTAAACTCAACAAGTGGGTGAGGGTTTCGGTGCCCCGTCCCCCATCACAACATCGTCTCCTTCATGTGAATGGGGATTACGATGGTCCCAGCCCCAGTTTTACGGGGGTTGGAGTCAAGGCCTTGGGAAGGCGGAGTGTGGAGTTTGGCATCTGGCAACGCAGGTGGTAGCTTATCAAAATGATCCCATAGCCTATATTGGTACCGCCAGAATTCATTGTTCATCCCCCGGATATGTCCCCGGCCTCTTCAGGAGATCCCGAGATTGGAGAAGCTCGTACTTCCTCAACCGATCGCAGAGTTGTGTTCTCAATGGAGAATTGTTACTTTCAGCCAAGTCAGCCAAGGATAGGGGGGCCTATGATGCTGATCAACTACATATTCATGGTGGTGGGCCTCATCCTGTTCTTTGTCACCCACGGCCGCCAGCTGATGGCCATGAGCCTCAAATCGCGATGGGAAGAATTTGCATGCTTAGGAGTTTCAAGTGCTCAGAATATGCCAGACAAATTAGAATTGCGTCAGGCTTGGTAAGGCTGGCATCGTAAAACATTGTAGCTACAGCGACCCGAGTTGAAGGATCAATTCCGCGAGGTCATCGGTTAGGCTTAGGATGCAATGTTCACTCAATTTCCTGGCAGTGGCTCAGGAGCCCTTTTGCCGGTGCCACCGAGAGCAACACGGTAACGATGTCCCTTTTTGGCCTCATGCTGCCAGTCTTTGTCACCTGGCCTCTCTTAAGACAGGATGATTCACCACATTAGTGACTGTGCTGTGCGAAAAACCTGAGATGATGGGTGAACACAGGGCCAACAAGGTTGCTGGCCGAAAAGGATAATCCTAGCGAACACCTGTTAATGCCTGCCCGCTTACTGCAACTAACGATGACTGTTTTGCATTCTTCTCTAGGTTCCATTAAGAAGCGGAGAAGCCGCAACGTTGAAACATGCATGTTCTGCCGAAATGCAAGCCTCCCGCCCTCTGAACCAGGTTTTGGGCTTGCTCCTGGGCACTATCTCCAAAGTCTGGGTCACTTGCTGAAGATTTAGGTTTCTGGCGGTTTTTGGGGGCTGCTTCTGAAGATGCGCCTGCATATTCATCGGAGTCAGTTATCATGAAGACTCTTTGCAGTGAGGTACCAGTCATTTCCCATGATGTATAATAGTGATCACCTGCATGCCCTAGCAACACTATGGGGACTGATGTCGAACATATTCTCAAACATGTTTAGGCTCCTGGACGGAAGCTTGGATGTTGCGAGCCGGATGTTCCCGAAACATCGATCTGCCACTGCCCCCCTACTGAAGGCCCCAAACCTCTAGAACTAGATGATGGGGGTGGCTTCAGCTGCCAGAATCTAAGAACCCGGCTCTTGGCATGGTTTGTCTGAAAGTGCTCACGGTCGCGTTGTGTGTTTTAAGGGTTTCATGCGAGACCCAACCTTCTTCTGCCATTTGATGCCAAAGCCTAAAGGTGGAGATTCCTGAAAATGGGCATTATTCTACGTACCCTCGAAAGTGAAATTATCCGAAGTAACCCCCTCAAGCGCCGTAAACGTTGTCTTGGGCCCCCGTAAGGCCCCAACAATCGCCAGCCCTAAACCCCGGAAGCCCTAAACGGGGCAAGCAGGGGTCAGCAAGGCCGATTACACTGCACGGAAAGTTCCCAAGATGGAGGCGGCCGAATCGGAGAGGGTTGGCCTCTGGGACTCAAAACGAGGATGGTCTACCATTGTATCAAGTGTTTAAAGGTTAAGGGTTTAGGGCATTTTGGGGTTCGGGGGCACGGGGTATAGTTGGAAGTCCACGTGAAGCGTCATAGGCGGGGTTACGCCCCGATCCCCTATCCGCAAGCCTCGATACCCTGAAAAAAAAAATCTAGGACTTCCCGGTAGTCATCTTGACGCACCCAAATCTGAAGCCTGCTACATCCTTGCCAGACATTAACGAATGAAAAATCGAAAGCTGCGCTACTTAAGCCTCGCTAACCGAAGGCTCGGCAGTGCACCCTGCTCAATCGCAAGTCAGGTTCCCTCGCATTAGGCTCTGATTTTCTGATTCTAGTTCTCCTCAAGAAAGATCGCGGCTTTATGGGCTGAAGTGAGATGTAAAGGACAGGTTTAACCGCAATGTTCACGTTTTAGGACTATAGGATTGAGAGTTTGTTGTGATTGGCAACATGCCTTACTAGCTTAGACTTGAAGGAGCTTGCCTAGATTCTGCAACTACTGGAAACTGAACTTCTTACAACCTAGAATCTTGTTTTCATGGAGCGGACGTTGCTGGAACTAAACGGCGGGTGGGAGGGAACACGCGTAATCTTGCGCATTTTTCTCCGTGCACGCCCCTGGAAAGCTCGGTTATGGGCCTACCAAACAGCTTCAAAAAAAATACAAAAAGCTTCGAAAAGCCAAAACAAGTTCAAATGTTCAGATACTTCCGAAAGCTGGGACTGTCACAGGGATCAACTCCCGCCCTGTCCCTGAAGTAAGAAAGCAGAAGTGCTACACGTTTGACCAAGGAGACGATGCCCCAGCTGCTGGGAAAGAGGGCGAGGCTGTGACGGCCGTGGCTGCCTGAAGCCTGAAAAGGGCACCCACGGGGCTTGTTAACAGGAAACACCAAGGCAGAGACAGCTACCCTTTGTAAATGGAGTGTATATGTGTGGATCTCTTCTAAATGGGGATTCACAGAGGGGCATAGGGGGTCCCACTCATGGAGTATAGAAGCTCCGAATTATGCAAGCACACGCTCCTAGGGCTTCGGATTCGAAAACCGGATCTGTGCTCCAGCCAGCACAATTAACACAGGGCGTTTAAGGGACCTGGATCCTGGACGAAAAAGCGTGACAGGCTATGCTGCAAAAGAGCTATAGTCTAAACTCCTAGTATCCCCATTAATAAGCCCAATAATGCTCCCCTATATAGTCCCCTATATAGCCCCACTCTGAGGAGTCGGTATATATGTATGTATGTATATATATATATAGACTATGCCGAAAGTAAGGCCAAGGTAGCCCAGTAGCGGATGGCTTTGTCGATCCTGCATGTTCTCACTCCAACAGATCCCAACAGCGAATAAAGTGCTCGGGGGTCCGGGGAATCCCTCATCGTGCTTGATTTCAGACTTCTGGCATTGAAGCCAAAGGTTGAACCTTTCAGATTGTCAGATCTTAAAAGCTCTACCTAGAGGACCCTTTGATACACTTATTTGTGTCCAGGGGATTTTGTTCCCTATGCTATTTTTTAAAGGTCCGTTTCCTACATTTCCGCCCGTTTAGATCAAGAATCCCTACATCATCCCAGAAGAGTCCTCAAGAATCGCTACTCCCAGCTTAACCCCATCCTCAACCCCATCATCTCCATAGATGCGAACCCGGAATGATTGAAATCATCCTATTGAAAGCTCCCTCTCCCAGCCTGCGCGCACAACCTACACCGTGCACGCGGTGATCTTCGAATGTTTGTCCCGCCAAGCGCTCAGTTTTGTGATACTCCAAAAGCTTTATGCCACTGTCTTCTATACAGGATTAAAGATCTCTGGAGAGTCCTAGATACTACCGTTAGACGGGGCATTCTTCTCGACAGCCTTGCCACACGCCCTATGAAGTCTTCGTCAGCCCAACAAAGCCAGGGCTTTATGCTCATGACCATGTCGCTCGGATTATCCCTCTCATCACGCCAGTCGAGTTGGCGTTGCATCATCAGACTTAGTACATTGATAACAGGAAACCATGCCCAATCAGGAGCATTGAAATTACAAGGCGTAAAACCATAATGGGTTGCAGTTGAGGAGCATCAAATGGCAAAACATATGCAATTTCGGCCGAACCCGATAGAGTTTCTGCCCCATCTTGGCCGTCAAGCTCGATAATGTAGCATATGCTTCCTTACAATGATCATTACCCCATGCAGTTGTAAATTCAAACTTTATTTCCGGAAATCGTTTGATACAAAATCATTACATTTGCTAAGCAAAGTTGCCACTGTGTTCCAACCATCCGAGATGATACTGGTAGCTTCCGCACGCGTCAGCCACATCCCACCAGCGTACACTGCACGCCAAAAGGAACTTGCTGCAACATGAGCGAAAGTCATCACTTCCAAGATCTCATGGAACCGATTCTCCTAGGGTCTGCTACCCCAAACCATTATAAACCCTAAACCCTAAACCCGGCCTAAACCCTAAACCCTGATACGTATAGCAGACCTCCATGAGACCCTAACTTATTATAATTAATTGCCCTAAACCCAGAGCCCTTAACACCCGAAATGATTCCAATGTGGTAAATAAATGCCGACCTAAAGCTTGCAAGGCTCGACCTTCGTGGAATCGACGTGCGGCAGGAAGTCGCTCAACCAGGCTCCCACAATGGCAGCATCATGCCCTTTTCCCAATCCCGATGGGAAATCGTTGTACCTAGGGAGTTTGGGGTGTAGAGTTTAGTTGGGGTTTTAAACATTAAGGTTCAGGGTGTTTAAAAATAAACGAGTAGATGAGGCAAGCCACGATTTGCCACACTTGAGGGTTTTGTGCGAAAAGTCATCGATTGAGGAGTATTTGCCAGCTTTGACCAGGTAGGACTGGAAAGTATTATAAGCACGTTTCAGGCAGTTCTCCACGGATCCAGTCCCGAAAAGGCCAATCCGCGTGCATAGTAGGATAGTGGAAGCACAAAAATCCTTGCCGATGCCCACGATTGACCATGTATGAGCCGGATCTACTCTGGCAAATCTAGCACTGTGCCCCATTGGAAGCTTTCTAAGGGCTGAAGCAGGTCCGGGTTTGAAAGGCCATGACGGGATGTGGTCTGCCGGCACTTTCTGGATTTCGCCTTTGACATTCCACCAGTCCTCTCAAGCACTACAGGGGAAAAAGACAATAGCTATAGTGGCCCTGCGTTGTGTAGGAACCCTGCGTTGTGTAGGAAATAAGCTTGCTATATCAAGAAATTCAAAAGCTTGTCCAATTCGGTATAAGAATCCGGAACATCGCACAAGTGACAAACTCGTCGACAATTGAATCCAGTTGCCAACCGAAAGGCGGATCTCAAAAAAGGCCAATCACCCTTGGTCCCGGTGTAGATCATTCTGTACGTGAAGGATCTGCCTTTGTACTTCACCTTGTTTGAGGGCATCCTATGTGATTAAGATTATGTGTATAATTTTTCATACCCCAAAGAGACCGAAGTCCCAGGCTCCACATAAATTTGAAAACCCAAGAAGCATCCACACCTTCAGCTTGCAGCTTGTTCAGATCACTCACCAGGCCCCCCAAAACCGACTGCAACGTCAAGTCCTTTGAGTAAAGCCAGCTCGGAATCACTGCCAGGAGTAGGCGATTGCAGAAAGTATGCCTTACCATGACAAAGATGAAGAATATTTGGCTACAATAAATTTAAAAGAGGTTTTATAAAGATTTACACATCAGAGCCCCACCAATGATAATGTGTAAGAGGGGCCCTCCGGAGTTGGAATCACTCATGTCCGGCAGGGTGATCAGTGGCTGGGCGCTCACGATCATTATTGGCTTCTTGCCCGCAGACCGGCCTTCATCGCCGTGAATTGCATAAGGGATGCAATATCTCCAGTCATGGTCCTCATTATAGAAAGGCAGGTCTGGTTCCAGGCATCGAAAGCGCTGCCAGAAGTTTTGAAGTGTATCTCCGAAAGCCAGTGCCCAATCAAGTGTCCAGCCACCCAAAAGAAATTGGCCCCCCAGCTTGAAGATTTCCCGACACCAGTCCGACAATTGTAGAATAGGAAATTGCATCATGACCTTTTTCGAAGAACCCCTCTTGCCCAATCGAACTGGTGATCTGACCGTTGATATTCTCACAGGAATCGCGTAGCCACTTCTATGCAGAAGGTTATGTAGATTCTTGCACGCGTGGGAGTCTGATCGATGTTTTGCGCATTGCGCCATATCTCGAAGCATAGGATCAAGCACACCTAGGATTTACGCGGTTTCATAAGTAGGGACATTATAAGGTTCTTGAAATTTTGGAGGGGTGAATACTAGCTATCACGTATAAGATCGAATTAGGAAACTGTTGCTTCTGAGCAGCCAAGATGTTTCAATCTATTGTGTGCCACCGTAGCCAGTCTCACTACCCGGCTGGCATATTCAGCCTGAAGTTGGTCATACTCAGGTAGCCGCATGATCCAGTAACGACCCACTACATGAAAGCCATCCCCCACCCCCAGAAAATCTTTATTATGCAAACCTATACTATAAAATCATCTCAGAGGTGAGCCCTGCGCGAATCGTTGAACGGATTTTACAAGGGGTTTAGAGTTCTTAGGGGGGTTGCAGTCAAGCGGAGGATGCAAAAGGTTTCTTTAACGGCATGCCAAGACACGCCTTCTTCGAATCCAATTATAAGCTCATCAGCCAAGTCTCGGTCCTGCGTGGGATGCGGTATGGGGATTATATAATCCTCTATGGGGTCTACTATAGTACTGCATGGCTATTGCTTAGGGGAGAATATGATTTTATACAGCTCTATAGGTGAACGCATGCATGATCCATACCCCAGGCTGTTACCAAAATATGCTCGTATAAGGATATTGACAGGGGCCCCTAGATAGAATGAGTTTGTCTAGATAGGACATTCTATGGGCATGGGCTTTTGTTCTGTTTTCTAGGCTGGGTGCTCACTCCTACTTGGGTGTATAATTATATTCCTTGAGCCTGAGATCTTTCAAACAACCCCAACCACCCGGCCTCTGACTCACATTGAGGAAATCGATCGCCTGGCAAGAGGGCACCATGACGAAGGACCGTGATTGCCGAGTTTCCCTCACCCCACCCGGTCCCACAGCGCCTGATAGGATAGTCGAATAGTCATCTCGAACAGCGCCTCCCAAAATGAGTGAATGCATGGTATAGCTTAGGGTTCTGGAAAAGGGCTTCGCCTCAACATGGACACGCGTGCACATAGCCAGCACATGTTTTCCCCCAGGCGTCTCAACAGTTGTTCACCCCGTTTCAGGATCACCAAGGCCGTATCTAGCTGGCCTGGCACTCTCCAATTATTGCAAACACTTTGTCATGTAGAGCGGCGCGCTCTGCATAGGATAAAATATGGCTAAATCCCTGATTCAGCTGCCCCTCGGCTTCTTGGAAGTAGGCTTCTTCGGTGAAACCTTTGGCTTGGGGCGCTTGTTCTTTCCAGCATCACTCAGCGAGGATGCATCCGGCTTCATTTGCCTGGCAAGAATGTGGGATGAGGAGCTCCGTAGTTCAGGTTACCAATAGGAGGTATAGAAATTTCATCAACTGGGGGTTCGCCTAGATCGCGCAACAAGGTTGTTCAGGGCAACGTCAACGCGGGTGCGCTCAGAGTAGAGGGCCAGCAAAGCCCGATCATCTGGCCTGCCCAAGGGAATATTATATTTATTAAGGATCACATGGGTCTTACATATTTCGAGGGTTCAGCCTATATAGGAGTTCATCGTTCGGAGTCAGGATGTGATGTACTAATTTGGGCTCAGGTTGTTGATGTTGGGAACTTTTGTCTAGAGCAGGGCTACTTACATACCTATGAGGATGAGGAGGCCTTTGCTTTCCCGTTGCAATCGCAGATTGCAGTGTCTCCATCTGATCATAGTTCATCTGAAGCTTGTCGACCTGGCCCTTGATGCTGGCCGCCAACCTTACAGATAACTGAGTTTAGGGGGGCCAGGCGAGTCATATTAGTGCACCTTAACACATCCTTGCGAAATAGCTCAGACGAGCAACGCTTTGGCTCGCTGATGTCCAATCTTGCCCAGCTTGTCCTGCGCAATCAACAATTCCATAATTAGCTACATGAGCTGATCATGAACACATTCACTCGAGCACTCACAGTCCACTATCGCATCGGAAGAATCAATCTTCCGCCCAGTGATCTCAAGGAAGTTCGGCAGCAAGGCAACCGCTGAGGTGTTCTGCTGGATGGTTGGGTAGGTGAGCCTCAAGACAGGGTAATGCCATGCATGTAGCTGGTCGCACCTACAACGACAACTGTTTCCGGGGGGGCCCTCAACTACAGAAATCAACCTTCAAAGATCGAAGCCCATAACCCTGCGTCCCTATAGGTATCGACTTTGAACCCATATGATAACCGAACCCTGAAGTTGTGATAGCGACATCATCTGGAAATAGCCCAGTCACTTGAAAGACCCACCACCTGTGGCAGCAAGCTGGGGGTTATCAGCGTTTCCCGAATCCCCAAGTCGATCCAGGAGGGCGCTGTTCGAAGCGCCAGCGATCTCTGGCACATTGGGCTCGAAGAGGCTTCCGGCTTCATCCTGCAATGCGTACTCGTGGCATTCTGTTATGCTAAGCTTTATATAATGTTTATGGATAGGCTTTAGAGTCCTCCATTTCCCATCCACTGGTCTGGGCGGTCTCATCCCCACTTTCTTCGAGGAACTCAAACGTGTCATGTAAAATGAAGCGGATCTCTTCTTCTCCGTGCACTTCGTTGACCCGCTTTCTGCCAGGCTTCAAGTCTGCCCAGGCCCAGGCATTAGTTATCATCTTCCTGGGGTGACATAGTTTAAGCAAGGGGGCAACTACATGTAGACAACTTATAAGTTTGGCCGATTTCTAGAAGCCCCCAGAAGAGCCCGCTCATCCCCAAATCCAAACCTTTAAGCTTTAAAATTCAAGTAGGTAGCCGTTGGACTTCCCCATGGCAGAAACCCAGTAAGGCTAGCCCGTGCAATTTGGGTTGGGGGATCAGTATTCATGATACAAGACACATTTAAATGGAGGTTGAGGTTGTTGCGATTGCTTTCAAAGCGGCAGGCTACAAATTATATGGAATCCCCACTACTATCTGCAAGCGTATGGAACTAGAACAACACCCTAGGACAACCCATGAGGCCACCTTCATTGAGGCTACAGTCCTATATTGTGTCATAGCCGGGTTGCTTTGTCCACTTGGCTTCATTCTCCAAGTATATCTTGCTGCACCACCCACCGCTCTTCTTGAGCTTGTTCATTTTAATCTTCCATCGTTTCAGCGCAGTCTCCACTGGGCCAAAGGAACCGTGGCGAGCAAGGAGAGCCCTCAATTTCTCACCTAAGTGCTCTTAGAAATTACAGCTAACACCAGCACTTTACCATTATATCAGCAACTCCTGCAGTAAAGCTACGCCCTGTGTCACTCTTCCACAACTTCATAGCCTCCTCGCTGCACTTGAGAGATCCGTCAGCCTTGGGCTGGAAGTAGCGATAGCACCTGGGATTCGGAAGGGTAGGGTAGGGCATGTTGCCAAAGGGTTAGGGCTTAGGGTTGAGGGTTTATAGCTGGGCGTAATGATGATTGCGCCGAATTCACCGAATTTTGCTTAAATCTAAGCTACTTGAGGCCATGGGTGCAGCTCAGGCTTTCTCTTCTGTAGAGAGTCGATCAACCTAGGCTAGTTGAGACAAGACTTGCTCAAGCGAAGTGCGCACGCTTATAGTAATTATATGAGACCCAAGGAGCTTCTGCGCGAAATTCTTGCCTGAAGGTATTCATTGGTTCCAGCCAATCATCAGGAATCCTGTGTGGAGGTACACGTACACTTTTGGATTCTGGGCAGGTCATATACTAACCCTTTAAATTCCAAGTCCTGCATGAAGCAATGACTTAGAATTCTATAGAGAGGCAGTCCTGACATATTTGCAGCTGTAGAGATACTCGAACACTGGCAGCAAGTTTGCTTCGTACCAGATGTCGTGCAAGGGCATCTCCGCAAATATCTGACTCGCAGTCATGTCTTGCGGGATCTTCACAGCAAAGCGCAAAGGCGGGAAGGCAGGAAGCTTCAGAGCTTGCTGGTATATGGCATGAATCCGCACAGCCAGCCCTGTTGGATAAGCCCTTAGATCTTCATAACAGAGATTTGCAAAATTGACTTGAGAAGAAAAGGGTCACTGAGCTTGTGTTTGTGCCAAGTCACTGCGTCTTCTTGAGGGAGGGCAAGCCAACCCAACGCTTTACCCCATTGGCATCGACATATTTGCCTAGGCTCACAGAACTGACCCATGCCAACACATCCCCACACACATGCAATCATACCTGACTTGATATAATTCTTCCGCTTTCAGGTT